TTACTCAGATATTACAGTTCAAATTAGACTCATGAAAACGGATACAACTTTTGAAACAACCTACTATTTATGACTGACGGTTGCCGAAACAATACTAGCTTGTAGCTACATTTTTATCGCCCTGCATATAAAATGCTTGTTGATGAGTGGATATGAAAAAGAAAGTTGAACAACATATTCTGTACGGAGACAAAAACAAAAATTGAACTTCATCATCATATTTGAATCTATTTCAACATCATACAAGCCACGAACGTAATATTAATAAGCGATGTGACGTAATTTCTTAAATCGTTGATCAACTCCAACTCTGTTGCAAATTTTTATTACTTTGAACTTGGCCAAGACCCTGAGCCATCTGATCTTGTGTAAACAATTCCGAATTGAATAAACAGTATGACTTATAAGTCCGCAGTTCATATACGATTTTCATCAAGCCTCAAGCACTTAAAGTTTCCGGAGTTGAGAAATGTCGTCTATCATCTCTAAAAAGCTGGGGCCGCACTGCAGGAAGGTTGGTAGGATGGTGGAAGGTAGATAACTGCCTGGCGAATATCCTGCTATTTATAAATGTGAGTAACAGAACGACGGTAGCCGCAGTGGCCCCCCACTACCATCTAACCTCCAGAAACCATGCGAAGGTACGCCAGGCGTCTATCCAACCTAATCAGTCGTGCTTGATATTCCTACCGGGTAGCCTAGCTATGGAGGACAGCGTATTAAGTTGTTTACAAAAGAATGGCAATTTGGGACCCAGCAGACCCATCAAGGAAAAATTTGTACTTCTGGAAAAAGAAACCAGTTCCGAAGAAGATCCGGGTTTGTGTTTCTTCAAGAGTTTACTTCCATATATGCGGGAATTAAGCCCAGGCCGTAGGCTGAGTCCGTGGGAAAATTCAAGACCTTATCTTGAATGAATATGAAAAAAAGAAATTTGTCTGTGGGAGTCCCTCAATTTGGCCACGAGTATGATAGTCATACCCAGTACTCATCATTGTCAAATTCTACTGATGTTTCATGCTTTTCGATGGAACAACAATCATTAGATTCGTATGGTGGAATATCTACAACTCAGCAGCAAGATCCTTTTTTTCATAATATGTAATTCTTTTCTTTAACGTTAATGTTCTAATGTTTAGTTTCAATGATTTTGTTTATTTATTAAAGAGAGGCATGCTTGTTACTTTTCCGCTGTCAGTTAGATACTGGCTTCATATCACTGCGTCCACGATGCATTGCCCCTCCACTATTCACCTTTACCATCCACCCTCCAAGCGACCATTTAGCATCCTGCAGTGCGGCCCTGGGTTAAATGTTCAGATGGAATTTTTCAGTTTTGACGGTTTCAATTGCTTGAGACTAACGGAAACTATTCCGCATAGATCTGCCGGAGTATGCAGTTTTGTTATGGTATGGAAGGCTGTATAGATTTGAAGCCAAAGGCAATGGAATAATTGAAATGAATGACTGAAGTAGAAAATATAGAATAGGAATTTGTGGAAAATTACAAATATTATTGACCACATCACCTTCACATCTTATTTCATTTTGTTTGACACTTCTCAGTTCAGTAATCAACATTTTTCCTATATTTATTTATCGATTTCTATTTTGTCTATTTTCAAAGTAGTCCCCTCAGATATGACACGCTTGTGCCAGCGTTTTTTTCAATACTCGAAGCAGTTCTGATATGCAAAACGCCGTTGTTTCATGGGTCTCTTCGAAACTGGGAACAGGAAAAAGTCGCAGGGGGACAACTCTGGTGAATACTGTGGCTGAGGCAAGATTACGGTGTTGTTTTTGTACAAAAACTTACAAAGAAGCAATGAAGAGTGAGCAGGTGCAAAAGTCATGTATTGTTTTTCCACAATACCGGACGTTTTCTTTGTATTGCTTCTCGCTAGCGGTGCATAACTCAAAATAATACTCTTGCCACAGTAATCGCCATGGTAATCGAAGACAATAGTAAGCAAAATCTTGACATTTGATCGAACTCTGATCGTCCTTTCATTGATCTTGGCTCTCCTGGACTCTTCCATTGGAACGATTAGACTTTGGTATCAATGTCATAACCATATACCCATGATTCGTCACCATGTATGACACTTTCGAAAATTCTTGAGCAATGCTCATGCGTTGGTTCGTTGGTCAAAATTCAGCAGCTTCGGAACGAACTTCGCTGCCACACGCTGCATGCTCAACATTTTTGAAAAACTTGATATGCCGACATCCTCAGCAACTTCTCTAATAGTGAGTAGACGATTCTCCATCACCATTTTCTTTACTTTCTCTACCTTTTCATCGGATGTTTGCTGACTGTCTGGCGGGAGTTAGCCGTTTTCCGCTTGATTATAGGTTTCCATATGTTGCGTATCTCTATGCTAGCTTGGCTAAATGCGTTGTTGAACAACAATAATGCGGCTTCTTTGAATTTTCTCCTAAACCAAGATTCCTCTCTGTAGATGATTTCAGCTTGAGACCACTTGACGTTATGTTAATGAGTCCAAATATGCCCTGCTATTCCTTATTTCCTGGTTTCTCCTCGCTGTGTGTGTTTTTTGTGCTCGGCAATACGAACTTTCAATGGCCTCTTGTTTCACTGATGTAGGATTCTCCGCACTAGCAGGGTATCCGATAAATGCAATTCTTGGAATCGCAGTCCGCGTTTAGTAGCCTGATTTTCATGAAGTTGCTATGGATAGTGTTCCCGGATCTGAAGCAGGTTCTGTTGTATCTGGACCCAATTCTTATCATTTCCGATAATCATCTGATGTGAGGCAGTGCAAGCAGTGGTTGTGACGACTTCTCTTCCTTGCGAGACTCCTGCTGTCTTTTAGCCAAGTCTGTTTCACCATCGCTTTGGAGTAGCTATTTCCTTGAAGATCATCTCCGCTTTTTTTTTCCTCTTCACCGATTTAGTGGGAGATGACTGTTTGACAGAAGTTGGCCATTTCTCGCTTGATTATGGGTTTCCATATGTTGCGTATCACTACGCTACCTTAGCTGAATACATTATTGGACAACATGTATGCGGCTTCTTTGAATTTTCTCCCAAACCAATGTTCCTCCCTATGTATGATGTCAGCTTGGGACCACTCGATGTTATCTTGATGGGTCCAAACATGCTCTGCTATTCCTGATTTGCTGGTTTCCCCTCGGTGTGTGTGCGTTTGGGTATCCGATAAATGCAATTCTTGGAATCGCAGTCAGCGTTTGGTGGCCTGGTTTTCGTGAAGCTGCTGCAGGTAGTGTTCCCAGATCTGAAGCAGGTTCTAATGTAATACTTGGACCCAATTTTTCTTATCCTTTCCGACAATCCTCTGATGTAGGAAAGTACAGGTACTGGTTGTGGCAGCTTCTCTTCCTTGTGAGGCTCTTGCTTACTGTTATAAATTGAATTGTTTATAACAAATTATTTATCGAATAAACAATGAAAATTCAAATGGTTATTTAGAGCAAGATGAATTATGATTAAAAAATGGTTCCTTGATATTACTTATAAGTGGTAGAAAAAAATGTTGATTAACAATTCCGTTTTTGAGCAATACAATATTTTTTTTGGAAAACGATTTTTTTTAAATCATAATGTGCCTCAAAAAATTATTTTCGAATTATCCTAAACACGACGCATTTGTTCATAACAAGTTTTCAAACAATAGGAGATGAACATTTATGTAGTTAATGATTATAAAAAAACGGATCGATAATTAATCAATGATTAATTAAACTTTTTATTTTTAACCTGAGTGAATTGTTGACAACAAAGTGAGAAATAACATTTTTTTTTATTTTCCCATCGGAAGTATATTTGGAGGCCTTTCAAAAATATCTCAGAAAAAATAAAAAATCTCAGATTTGTTATTTAACAATTATCGCACTTGCAATGTTCCTGT